TTTGTGTATTACCTATTATTTTTATCCACCCATTTAAGTTTTTTCAGTTTACCGTTGGGTTCGACTTCGTAGCTATAGAACTTTTTGGTAATACAAGACTTGCCATTAACGAATCAGAAAACCTTTTTAAACTTTATAACTTTGATTAGATATTAGATAGTTGTTCAGTACGAGTGAGTGATGACTCTTTTGTCGCTGTTTACTGTACTGTGGTATAGGTCTTTCACGCTGCTTTCCGTCTTGTGCCTTCCCCAGTTGGTACCACAGCACAACAGATTGCCTCTCGGATCACAGTTGTATGGCTAGTTTTGTATGTTGTACAGCTTGTAAGTCATTTCGAAGCAATCTTGGCGCATTATTGGTTTCTATAACGTTTATTTACATTTTTTTGATTTTTTAAGTTATTTAGTCACGCAGCAGTTTTGGTGTTCCACTGATACTTATTGCGTGGTCCATAACTGAAGTTGTACGGTACAGTTTCTATGCTACGAAAATTCTAGACAAAACTCCGGAATTTCTGAAATGGATGAGGTAAACTTTTCAAAATTTTCTACACTACATTCATATAGTTACTCATGAAATAATAATTTCTAGGTATTCTTTTTTCATCGTCTTGTATCCTGTCGGGGCATTGGGTGAGATATTGATCGTGCTTGCTGCTCTTCCAGAGGTTTATTTTTTTAGTATTGGTCTCAGCATTAGTCTTTTGTGCTCTAAAGAATGAAATTAATACAGTAGTCCAAGATAATTGTGACATTTTTGAGAACCAACCTGTAGTTTACTAACGTCTTTTCTGTCTCAAGCTGTTTATATACTCATTTTTCATCATAAACGGAGAAACTGAAAACTTGTTAATTTTACTTTCTCAAATACTTTGCAAGCCTTTGGCGAAGAATACATTTATTCTTCGCTTTTGGAGTCTCCAAAGCATTTGTTTTAGAAACCTTTCGTCTACAGCTAGTCCTTTTCCGACACTAATTTGATTTCTAAGTATTTAAAAAAATTGTGAAGTTTTGAACGTTCACCGTGTATAAGGTTGCAGTTCTTTACTATCTTATTTACCAGGCAATCATATACGCATTCAGATTAAAACAGTTTAAGAAATTTTGCTCATTTGGTAATTAAGAGGATTAGACATATTATTTCAATTGGTTAGAATGTTGACTGTGCTAATTCCAACGTTCTTAGACAGAACAGTTCTATTATTAAAATTATTTCTTGGTGATTTTCTGCATGACGATTAGCAAGTAGGCCTAGCAATATTGAACTGTTGAAAATTACAAGAAAGCTTCTTTTTTACGGCTTGCAAAGTTGCGTGTTTCGAAATCGCCAGTCGTGATAGTATCAGAACCGTGCGACCTTTGACACTCGCTTTACTTTCAGAACTTTGCAATAGTTTTTTTTAAGTGTTCCTACGCAAGAAATTCCAAAAACTGGTCATACCAAAACTAATAATATAACGAATTTAAATCCTTGATTGAAAATCTAAATGTCAGCTAGCAGAAGAGATTGATGAACAGGAATTGTTTGGGTCAATTTTGTAACTGTACTGTCTAACAGATATTCTTTTATAAATGTTTCGTACGTGCCTCTTCTAGTAAAAACTTTCAACAGGTTGCGGTTAAAAAACAGTTAACGTTGGAAATGCCAAACTCATTCAACATTGGATTTTCTTTCTGGTGGTTCCTCGTTGTGTTTGCTGCATTTTATCCATTCGGTAAGGTTTTTTTTAGCCAGCAGTAGCGTTCTGTGTAATTGTGCTAATTCGTGCAAATTCCTCGCATGGTGCTTAAAAAAGTTGTGAGAAGTAGTAAATTTTACAAGTTTAGGTTTTTGCATGCTTTAGAGTTTTAAAGAGTAATGCAAACACCTTTAAACAGTTTTATTAGGAAAATTAATTCTTTTGATACTTACTGTTTTTGATATGAAGATATTTTAGGATTTCCTCCGCTGTACAAGTACATGTTCAGGCAGAGAAATAAAGTGCTTTGCGTTGAGGCTAGCAAAAAGCGTGAGTAGATGGAACTTTCTTATATGGTTAAAGTGTGTATTGTCATTCCTGGACTATCCCAAACGCAAAAATAGTGTCAGCTCGTTTTGATGTGTGCAATAAGTCAGTTAGGTTGTTGGTGTTTTTCCGTTGATTTCTATACCTAGTCGGTAACGCTGACGGATTATTGAGAAGGTAGTATAATTTTTTAGTTGGCACTTGTTATTCTGATAACTTATTGTTTTTTCCTACGAATCTTCACAGACTTTTTTGCCAATATTTCTTGCTGATCTTCCACTGTTGCTTTAACTAGTAATTGTTAAATTTGTTTAAGTTGGTTGTATCGTTGTAAAGAGCACCATGAGAACGATATTTTTTTGCTGTTAGGTCCTTACAAATGTTTCTCATAAACATTTTTTGTGCAGTGCAGAGGATAGTCAGTTAGAAGCAATTCGTAGAGTATTTACTTTCAAATGAAACTTGTGAGGTAGGTGGAATAAGTTTATTAAGATATCCTTTCAAGATTACTGTTTTGTTTATGGTTTTTTAGTATGTTGCTCTATTTTTGCCTTAGCCAGAGGGCAGACTTTTATCAACTTAGGCTTCTTATGTTTAATCTTATATTCCCATAATAAGGTAGCAGCAGGTACGTACAAACTTTGTTGTATATGAATAAGTGTGAGAACCAGCAGAGTGTGGTTTTCGCTACCAACAAATCACTGACAACAGTCGAATAGATACAGGGCAACCAACAGTGTTGATTAGGCGACACGATTTCTTATCTCATAAAACTTCCAGCTGTGATAAATAGATTCACTGCAGAATTTCGATTAATCACGGGCTGCAACGGTGGATTTGTGCAATAACCGGACTTGAATTGAATTCTCACTAAGAATTTATGCGGTTCAACGCATCCTCAGAAGATTGTACAGTCAGTTTCTGAGCAATTTCTTTAATATCCGAGTATAAAACTGATGACCTGAAAAGAGGTACTGGTGATTGATTTGCATTACTAGTGCATTTGGGACAAGTACGAATACTCCTTTCTATTAAAAGGCAGTTCTGTTCAGCGCACCTTTTTGAACGACAGGTTGCTATGATTTATTTTCCACTTGGTCTTTGTAAAGATAGGCAATCAAGTAAAGGTTTTACTGCCTTTTTTAAGATATATCAGAAAGAAGTAGAATGATAGTCATTAAGCCGCTTTATTAGTTGACTTACAAGTATCGCTCTCCAAAGCTAGGCAATAACGTCACTATTAATCTTCCAGCGTTTTCAGGTTTGTTTGCCAAGCTCATTGCCGCCCAAGCGTTAGCCCCGGAGGAGATTCCTAGATTAAAAAAATTCATACAAACTCAAATTTATTCCACGAATTTGCTTTACGTAAATAGGGACTGGAATTGGTATACAACCGCAAAGAATCCCTTCTTCACGAGCGAGGCGTTTTGATGTTGCTATTGCTTTGTCTGATGGGACGCGAATAATACCGTTGTACAGTTTAGTATCCAGTATTTCTGGTACAAAGTTAGCCCCTATTCCTAAAATCAAGGGACGCTTTCTTTTAGGACAAAGTAAGTACCGGTGATTGCAGCCGGAATTATTAGACAATTTTACCTTGGATTTTATGTGGTCCAGCTTTTTCGCCGCTCAAAATCGGTGACTCGTCAGGCTCAACTGCATAGATCTAAATAGAACGGATACTGTGTTTAAGCAGGCTGTCAGAAGGAGTTCTTTTTTTGAAGCTTTCTTGTAAATTGGATTTATTGAAGTGTTAAGGCATTTTGTCTTTTGGTTGCCTTGTTTATATAATGAATGCTGAATTGAGACCTTTATGTTTGGGTTCTTGCTCCTCAGGAAGGAGCCAATTCCAGTAAGTGAACCTCCCGTACCGACTCCAAAAACAACGATATCAACCTTTCCATTAGTTTGTTGCCATATTTCTGGACCGGTAGTTAGATAGTGAATTCTTGGATTTGCTGGATTTCCGAACTTAAACATGAACTACAATGAATAGGAATGTTATCGAACAACGCATAATTACTAACATCAACCTCTTCGCACGACTATTTAGTTTATAACGACCTTTTTGAATCATTGGGCCTTCTTAGGGTCCAGAAACTTTTCGCTACTTTCTTCTGCATATCTGAGCGTGAAAAGTTTGACTACATTATGATTAATTTGAAACTCTCTTTACTCTGTTTCTCAGTAAAGTGTACTGTGAATAAGCAGATGTTTGTTCTAACCTGCAGTCACCCTGTGCGTTATAATCAAAGTTTCCAAGTTTTACAGTCAATGATGCTCAAAGCTTATTTGAAAAAGTGACTTCAATGTTGGCAGAAACAATTGCTGCAGTGCCGCTCTTATTGAATCTGGTAATGAAAAACAGCAAAGATGATACCGTGAATTCAAGGTGACCATGCTTGAGAAAGATTTGCCAAACTAATAAAATTTTCAAGAAAATTATCGAGCTGTTAATTACTGAATTCTTGAAAACCTTGGCGTTATATCACTGTGCCTTTCCATGAAGTTGCTAAAACTTCCTGTTATACTGGCAGTAGTCAATGAAGAAGAAAATGACTCTGAGTGGGTCCAGTGACAACCTTCTTGAACTATGTTTTCTCTTACCAAAAAGAAGCTAACATATATGATGTGCTTGTTACTAATAGAAAGGTTCAGTGCTATAGACAGTCTAACTGATTAGTGGAAGTCGGTCTGCTATATTTATTTAAAATATATTTATGGGTTGCATCCATACCTGTTGCGCAATGAATGAGTTTGGAATTTTGCGGGATAAATCTTCCGCCATGTCGACGGCTCCTTGCATGCCTTTCGAAGCGTCAGTAAGGACGACCTGAGCCCCGTAAGCCATAATTAATGTACGTCTTTCAACGCTCATTGATTCCGGCATTGTTAGGATCAGTTTGTAACCTTTGGATGCGCAAACCATGGCAAGCCCTATCCCGGTATTGCCTTCAAACAGTTCAAGTGACATTTCACTTATAGTATTAGACGCTTAGTATTTTCGTTGAACTCTAAAGGCTTCTTGTTTGTACGAAAAACAAATAAAAGTAATAGCTGTACCTGAGGTTGGTTCAATAATTGTAGAAACTCCTGGCTTGATTTTCCCCTCTTTTTCTGCTGTGTTTATCATTGATACTGCTATGCGGTCCTTTACCGAACAAGCTGGATTCATAAATTCAAGCTTCACAGCTGTAAAAAAACCTGAGTCTCACGTGGTTTGGTGTATTCAAAAAACCTCTTCCAAAATTTATTTTATTTTTGACCATTTTAAGCTTTTATTGCCATAAAATAGCTCAAGTAGAGCTCACAACAGTTACCCTTTTCTCAGACAATATTTATGACTCTACTTCGAATTACATCATTAAAGAATTTTACATCAGATAGAGAATGTGAACGGAAATGTCTCAGGAACCATTCCTAACGCAATAATTTCAAGCTGTGCAACAGTTTAATTAGCACAGTTACAACTTGATGTATAGATCTAACAGATACGTACCAACTTTAGCTTTACAACCAGCTGCCACCTTGTTCAGGTATACCAAAGGCGTATTGCCAATAGCTCCACATACAGTTTCAGCAATGTTCATCGTTTTGAAGTGCTTAGTGGGTTAAACTTAACAAATATGATATATATTCTTCGAAATTTATCGTTACCATTAGCAACGATAAGAGATAATACATCGCTGAATTTCAGGTACAAATCTGTGTATTAGAATGATAGGGGTGAAAAATGGCTAAAAATTTGACGGAGACACTT